AAAACCATTGGAGGTTGGTTATTCATATCATATGTAGAAGTAAGTGTATATGAGGAACCATTTCCAAGTTTGGAAAGAGGTGGGCGGGGGGGGGGGGCGGCACTGTGTTTGATTCAGTACTTGAGTGATATCTTAGCGAATAGAAAAAATAAGACTTTTTTTATTTTATATTCTAGCTTGTCAATTTCGATAGTTTGTATTCATAATTCGTACGAAACTGTATATTTTGTATTTTGACATCAGAAACATCTAATTTGAACCAGTGCTGCATTCAACATGCGACGTGACATACACAAATCTATGTTTAGCTGTGGTTTTTTAATATTTACTTTTAAATTTACAAATTAACTGACGTATAATACTAAAATTTGAATTACAATCTATAATTTGATACCAAACTTATTGACATAAATTCATAAAATAGTAGTTCAATGAAATTTTTTAATGCCAGTCAACAAACGCGATGGCATGGCCTTTGACACGTGTCCTGTCGCGATAGAGTTAAAGATGAGCATAAAACTCGTGGCTATCGTAGTCGTATTGATATTTCCATGTGTAAATATAACTTTTATGATTTTATATTTGCCAGAATCCAAGCGTAAGTTTTCAGAAGCTCATTTCCATTCTTATCTACTGCTGTGTTTTATTTTTAAATCGTAAAATTAATAATAAAACCGTATTTGGAGGTTGATTTATTATAGGAAATCCTAACCTCTGTTAACTCTCTAAACAAATAAATAATACTTATGCTAACTACTTGTTTTGTAAAATGTACTCAGGACTTTGAGGTAAGTGGAGATAATGATGTGTCACGTGAACTGCCTTGACTTCGTTTACGGAGTTGGAAATAATCAACTTATTTCTTCACGTTGTCCAGAATGTCTACTGGTCGTCTCAAAGGCAAATATTAAAGTAACATACCAACATTAATAGAATAAAATACCATACTTAAATGATGTTGAGTTTGTTCAAGACTATATGAATTATTCACTAATCACACATCAAATTATGTACTAATTATATACATAGATCAATAAAAATGGAAATTATCCAATTTTACCCATCATAAAACACGTTAGTGTGATAATAAGTGAGAGTTATTCACAAAGAAAATGTTTATGAAATTACCAAAGTATAATAAAACACATGCATAATAGTTTTTCTAACAAATAAATTGAAAAAACACAATAATATTTATATATAAAATTCAGTGGTTGTTTTTAAAACATGAACAATGTTACAACATGATATTCATGTGATTTGTTCAGATTACTCAGGTGTTACATCATATATTGCTTGTTTTTAAACGATATTACTGCAGTATCTTTATTGTTCGAATTACCCCTTGTGTAACGTAATATTTTGTCTGTTCGTTTAAATACTAGCATCTTTACGTCAGTGTCTAAATTTTCATTTATCTTAACATGATTTTACATACTCTTCTTTAGAGTATCTTTATCCAAACGTCTTTCATGTATGTTTATAAAAAATAACCATAATTACTTTACACTCCCACTGAAACGATATTATTCAAATAATTTTCTTTACTTGTAACATTATACCGATTCCTATGGTCTGAACACCTTTTTACAAGCTGGCAAAGTATTATTATAATTAATCATACTTATCATAAGACATTAGTATTGTACCTTTTATATTTTTAAACACTACATTATTTATCTAGTTTCTTAAGGGTTTTCGAGAATCAGAATAGTGTATAATGATAATAGTATTCCAACTACATTCGATATATCCACTGCCGATGACACGTTTCGCTCAATCCAGAGTTCTTCAAACCAACTGAAACACAACAAAATAGAAGGTTTGGAAACAGATATATTTCTAGAGAAAAAATAAAATAAACATATTTATAGTATTATTATTGTTTATAATAGTGTTATATATTAAATTACAAATCCTATCATAATCTAATTCTATTCAATCAAACATTAAATCCATCAAAATCACTTTATTTTTAATGACAGCTTTGTATAATCTGACTGTTTACCAAAATATTCAAGTGTTAGGACAGTCCAGATTCTATTATATACCGTGACAATTGTTACATTGTGCAGTTGTACTATTAATGTAGCAGAGGCTTATGTAAATTTATGATCACATGAGGTATACTCTCGTGACCTGCTCAGTGAATAAATACCTGCTAGAAGCTTCACTAAGTGTGTGTGTGTGTGTGTGTGTGTGTGTGTGT